TACTGCAACAACAGTATCGTGAGAAAAAATTTCAAAAGTATTCACAGCTCATTGCATGTCTTTTATTACCTGAGCAAAATAATGAGTTATTGATGATAAATCATCAGTCTCGGCCCACTAGTTCCAGTCTGTTCCCTGAAGCGAACGTGACATTTTCTGAACGAGGACGAGATGTGGTTGTGGTCGTGAGAGTTAACGCGGTCGATATACCCCTTGCAAACACCGCGGTTTTGACATTAATAGGAAGCAGAATAAACCTCAATATGAGGATATAACCGAAAAGACTAAACAGAGAAAGAGGCAAGTCGGCATTTGTAATCGGTGTGGCATTGAAGGTTATTGGGCCAATACCTGCAAAACAGCCAAACACCTAGTCGATCTTTATCAAGCCTCACTGCAGAAAAAAGGGAAGAAGGTCGAGATTAATCACGTTGATAATAATGACGATCCCGATGATGATCTTCTAGTTTACGACACAACGCGTCTTGATATAGCGGATTTTTTCGTAGATCTAGCAAACCCAGTGGACATATTATGTCATTTTACATTATGCTACTTTATATTTTGTAATCTTTAAATTATCACATATTACACTTTTGTAATGTATTTTGTAATATTTACATATTTTTTTATTAAAACTGCATTTTTTTATATTTGAAGGTTAAATGGATGCCAATCAAAATGATACAAATATATATTTTATTGACAGTGCAACAACACATACTATATTGAAACACGAAATATTTATCTTATTTGAAAAAAGAAAGGATAAATATCAATACAATGACAATGCAAATTTAATTGAAGGTTCTGGAGAAGCCATTATATTTCTCCCTGTTGGGACGAAAATTGTGATAACAGTATGCACTGTTGGCCACTAAAGCTCGAAGAAATTTACTGAATTTACTGAGCTTTTATGACATTCGAAAAAATGGTTATCACATTGAGACTATGAGTGATACAGATGGTAAATTTTTTTTGATCACCAATATCTACTGGTTTATATTATGTCAGATTAGGTGTTGTTGAAACACACCTCATGCTAGATCAAAAGACTACTGATTTTCAAATATAACATTATCACATTGGGCATCCTGACAGTATAATGATGAGGCAAATACTTGAGAATTCGCATGACCATTGATTAAAAGATCAAAAAAGTGTTAAACTCAAATGAGTTAACTTGTGTTGCTTGCACTCAAGGTAAATTGATAACCAGACCAGTGCCAGCTAAAGTAAGTATTGAATCACTTACATTTTTGGAAAAAATACACGGTGATATATGTGGACTAATAAACCCACAATGTTGGCCATTTAAATATTTTAGGGTGCTTATTGATGCATCTACCAGATGATCATATGTTTGTTTATTATCTACTCGCAATATGACATTTGCGAGATTGCTTGCCCAAATTATTAAATTACGGGCACAATTCCTCGATAATCCAATTAAGACTATATGTCTGGATAATGCTGGTGAATATACATCAAATGCATTTGATGATTATTGCATGTCGATTGTAATTAATGTAGAACACCCAGTTGCTCATGTTCATACACAAAATGGTCTGGAAGAATCACTTATTAAAAGATTGCAATTGATTTCTAAACCATTACTAATGAGGTCTATGTTGCCCGTTTATACTTGAAATCATGCAATTACATGTAAGAACACTTATAAGAATGAGGCCGACAAGCTATCATAGCTATTCCCCTATGCAATTAGTATTTGGTCACGAACCAAATATATCTCATTTACATATTTTTGGTGTGTTTTTTATGTTCCTATTCCACCCCCTCTCAAACGTACAAAATGAGTCCTCAACGTAGATTGGACATTTATGTCAGATATGAATCGCCGTCAACTATGAAATATCTTGAACCTAAGATGGGTGATTTATTCACTGCAAGATTTGCATATTGTCATTTTGACGAATTATATTTTTTGAAATTAGAGGGAGAGAAATGAACCGAAAAAAGGAAATTAATTAGAAAATCTTATTGAATATTTGTGATCCTTGTAAAAAGCAGTGTGAACTAGAAGTTCAACGCATTATACATTTGCAAAATATTGAAAATCAATTAACGGATACATTCAATGACTCAAGTAAAGTCACTCAATCATATATTCAAGCTGTTAATGCTCCGACTAAAATAATTGTCCCTGATAGACAAATTACAAGTGCTAATGAATCAACGACACACTTAAAGCATAATAGACCACCCGGTTCAAAAGACAAACATTCTAGAAAGAAAAGAGGAATGAATGATGATAATCACGTTATGAATGACATTGATAAACCTCAATCTAACGAAGAAGTCAACCCTGAAATAATTGCTCAAGAAGAGCATGATCTTGATGAACATGATGAGATTATCGAAAACTCAATCAACTTGTTACTTCAAGAAAATATTGTAATTGTAAAGAGACAATTATTGATAATGCCTTCGCATACAATTTAGAACTTGATATAATAGAAGAAAATGAGAATCCTAAGCCAAAATCAGGTCATAAATGTCTGCAAAGAAATGACTGGCCAAAATGGAAAAATGTGATTTAATCAGAACTTGACTCATTAAACAAAAGGGAGGTCTTCAGACCAATTGTTCAAACATCAGATGATATAAAATCAGTTGGATACAAATGAGTATTTGTATGAAAAAGAAATGAGCATAATGAATTTGTGAGATATAAAGCTTGTCTTGTAGCTCAAGGATTCTCACAAAGGCCTGAAGTAGATTTTGATGAAACATACTCTCCAGTTGTTGATGAAATAACATTTAGATATCTTGTGAGCCTAGCAGTGCGAGAAAAGCTCGACATGCTTCTTTTAGACATATTTACTGCACATCTTTATGGCTCATTGGATATTGATATTTATATGAAAGTTCCTAAGGAATTCAATATGCCTGGAGTATACAAATTAAACCCAAAGGAATCATATTCCATCAAATTGAAAAAGTTATTGTACTGACTTAAACAATCATGACGAATGTGGTATAACCGTCTTAGCGAATGTTTAATAAAATAAGGTTATATTAATGATTCAATAAGCCCATGCGTCTTTATAAAGAAAAATAGATCAAATTTTGTCGTTATTGCAATATATGTTGATGATCTTAATTTAATTGAAACTCCTGAAGAGATCCAAATTGCAACTGAATATCTAAAGAAAGAATTTGAGATCAAAGATTTTGAAAAGACAAAATATTGTCCGGGATTACAAGTGGGTCATGTTAATACTGAAATATTTATCCATCAATCGACATATACCCAAAAGGTATTAAAACAATTTTATATGAATAAATCTCACTCTCTGAGTATACCAATGGTGGTCAGATCCCTTGATCTCAGTAAAGATTCATTTAGGCTAAGACGAAAAAAAAAAGAAAAAATACTTGGCCCCGAGGTACTAATCTTAGCGCTATTGGCACATTAATGTACCTTGGGAGTTGTACCAGGTCAGATATATCCTTTTTAGTTAATTTACTGGCCAGATTTAGCGCATCTTCCACAAAGCACCATTGGAACGGTATTAAGCACATTTTCCGTTACCTTCAAGGGATTCATGACATCGGTCTATTTTATTTAAGTAAATTTCGAAATGAATTAATTGGTTATGTTGATGCTGGTTATCTGTCTGATCCACACAAAGCAAAATCTCAAACTGGCTATTTATTTACTTGTGGTGGAACCGCAATCTCTTGGAGATATGCTAAACAGACAATAACAACTACATCTTTAAACCATGTTGATGTTTTAGCAATTCACAAAGCTAGTCGTGAATGCGTTTGGTTGAGGTCTATGACTCACTATATTCAGAAAAATTGTGGCTTGAATTCTGATAATGTATTACCTCATACAATTTTGTTTGAAAATAATGCAGCTTGTATAGTTTAGTTAAAAAGAGGATATATTAAAGGCGATCAGACAAAGCACATATATCCGAAGTTTCTTTTCACTCACAATCTTAAAAAAAATGGTGAAATTAATGTGCAACAAATTCGATCATCTGAAAATTTTTCAGATTTATTTATGAAGGCGCTACCGGCTGCAACATTCAAAAAATTGACACAAGGTATTGGAATGCGTTGGCTGAAAGATATCAAATAAAATCGATAATAGAGGGAACGCGTTAATACAAAAATGTTGTACTCTTTTTCCTTCATTAGGATTTTTTTCCACCGAATTTTTTTTTTCTAATAAGGTTTTAAAGAGGCACATTCTTTGTATAAAAGCATCCAAGGACGAGTGTTATAAACTATGCAGTGGCCACGTCGACAGAATATGAATACTTTTACAATCATTTATTTTTCCGCCTCACTCGTCTATATATATATATATATGCGTTAATGTACATAAAGTAAAGAAAAATCAACTCACAACTCTCTCTCTCTCATACATACATTATACAACAATAATTATCTAATACAACTACATATTATACAAAAATAAGCACGGTCTGAAAGCCATGGCTCAACACGCTAATGAACTGGGTTATTCCTAGGCTCATGAAGGTCGAAGCATGCTTGGACGAACAAAAATAGAAAATAATATCATTTTTATGAGACAGATGAAGTATTATATTGTATTATAGTAAAAAGACAAAAATATTCCTATTAATTTATAATATAAAAATAATGATATTTGTGTAACAGACACATTTGATGGACAGGCGAATTAAGGAAAATAATATTATATTGATATTGGATATACAATTGTTTCTAAAAAATTAAAATGTATTTACTTTATATAATTATTGTAAAAAAATAAGGATAATTTTACTAAAAAAAAAAAAAAAAAGATGACAAACTAGTTAAAAAAATGAAAATAAGATTATCGTTTTTAGACGAACAAAAATGACAAAATAAAATTATTATCTTAAAATATAAAAAAATATATTGTAAATTGAAAATATATTTATTAAAATAAAAAATGAGTCATTAGAAATGATAAGTTGATGGAGGACCGATGGAAATATAAAATGAGACTACCGGAGGGAGGGAGTGTCAAGAAAGACACCCTTGTATTAGACAAGCAAATTCACCCAAATAGCCACCAAAATCAAAACAACGGCAGTTGAGCTGATTGACCTCACCAACGCTGAATTCGTCCAGCCTATTCTTCGCTGAAATTTCATTCCAATATTAAATTTGCTGCACGTTTGTTGACAATTGATGAAAATGACTGCAATGACGTATGCAGAATCACTCAGAGGAGGTTCGGCAATGGCCATGGAGGAGGATCCGCCGCCTATTAAGGAAGTTACTTCAATTTTGAGATCGATTTAGGTTGAAACAGTTCAATTTTGGAGAGGAACAGCTGTCGCGCGGGTAAATATGGAGGAACTGGAGCTAGGAAAGACGTTGTATACGTCTTCACCCTCGACTTCGACTTCGTCGTCGTCATTGTCCGCTCCATTTGTTAACGATGGAGTGATGTTTGTAGCCTTGGGTGGGAATGTGAAGGAGAATGCGAGTGTGTTACTGTGGGCTCTGGCGAACTCCAGGGGGTTGAGAATCTGTATTCTTCATGTTCATCAGCCTCCTCACACCATGCCTATGCGTCAGTACTCTACTCTTAACTCTTTCATATATTTGCAACATTAATTTATTTGTGATCGATTTCGATGATTTTGTGTATGTAAGTACAACTGTATTACGAGCTGAGTTGGTTGAAAGTTTAGCAGAATAATTACATAATCGATTCAAGGTTGAGCTTGAGCTTGAAAAAATACTCTCTATTTAGAAGATACTTGATAAGATTTTTCTTTAACCCACACACACTCCAGGGATGTCTTACCACTTTGACTACTTGATAAGACTTGAACTCTAAGCTCGAAGAAATTACTTATATGATCTTCGAGTCCGTCGAAAGCTTTGTTTAGCTGAAAATTTACCTAATCAAGTAAAAGTTGAGCTTGATAAAATACTAGTATTCAGCTCAGGAAAGGTGCCTTGATAAGACTTGAACTCTAAGTTTGAAGAAATACTCGTCTGTTCTTCATGCCGAAAAGTGTCTTTGAGCCGAGTAGGACCTGTTATATTAGACTTGAGCTGGAAAAAATACTTGTGTTATCGTTGAGTTGAGTTGAGTAGGTTCAGCTTGATAAGACTTGACCACAGTGAATAAGTTCATATATTTGTCAATATTCAACTCAAGCTCGAGCTTCAGATCAAATTAAGATATGTGTTAGAGTTGGACTCTGTATAAGCTCGAGTTAAGTCTCAAAAACTCGACTTGAATAGCAGCTGCATATGTAAGTTGGGGTGGGGTGATTTGCTTGTCTGAATGGTTGGTTTTTACTGGTCTTTTGCTTTAATTGTGGTTTATTTACAACAGTGGGGACTGAAGTTCCGATTCATTTGATGGATGAACAAGAAGTTAAAGCATATCGTCAAATCAAGATTGAAGAGATGCACAAACTTCTTGAAAATTATATCAACATCTGTGGCCAAGAAAGGGTATATGATATGCTCCTCTTCCACACATATTTCCCATTTATTTTATTTATGGATATACCTAACTAGACTACTGACTGCTGAATGCTTTAGCAGCCCAGAACCAGTGTCTGTAGCCGTACCTTACAGAAGATGTAATTTAACTATCATGTCCGCCCGTCCTATCGAATTATTTACTCTCTCTTCTGTAGGTTCGAGTGGGGAAGATATGGAAAGAAACAGACTGTATCAAGAAGGGCATCGTGCAGCTTATATCCGAGAATGGCATCAAGTGGCTCGTCATGGGGGCAGCTGCTGATAGGCATTATTCACGGTGTGTGTTGCTGGAAAAGTTTGATCGTTTTGGCTAACACAGGTTTCTGTTTATTCTTTCTTGCCAGGAGGAAGTTTCACAAGTTGCTTACTGCTTTTTGTTGTTGCAGAAGAATGAAGGAGCCGAGGTCAAGGAAAGCAATCTACGTGCGCAAGGAAGCACCCAGTTTCTGTCACATCTGGTTTATATGCAAAGAGAACCTCGTACATACGAGGTATGTGTTTAGCACAGTGTCTACGAAGAACAGTTACATATGAATACTGCATCACCCAAATATTTAATTCCCAATGCAACCATTCACTAGGGAAAGTAAGCCAAGCATTGTTAGCATCGGAGCAGAGTATCAACATATTAAAGCAAGTCCATATGCTGAGGAAGCTGTATGGCCGTTGAGATCGAGCTCTGTTGCAGAAGGGGGAGGCGCCAAAATGAAGTCAGCAATGCGCCATCGTAGGGTGGAATCAGACAATCATGGAATGCAGCATCGATTACCATTCAGTGGCTCCCCGGGGGTGCAATCTCCTCCGAGCCATTCGAGTTCTGTAGACAGCCTTATGAGAACTCCTTCAATAGGTTCTCGCATTTCAACGAGTTCTAGCGAAAGACTCGATCGTTCATCTGTGACACCTCTTAAACACGAGGTGAATGAGATTGGGTCGGAGTCTGAATCGCTTATATTTCAGCTGAGCCCCAAAGACTACTCTCATTCCTCTGCATCAGCCAGAACAATCGTATGTACTTACGCGATTGCATCCACGTTTTCTAAGGTTGTCTGATGCATTTTATGTGATTCGCTCGTTGAACTCGAGCAGGTAGAGAAGAATACAAGAGATGAGCTGTACGATAGACTCGACCAGTTTGTGGCGGAAGCAGAAAGTTCCAGGAAAGAAGCATACGATGAATCAATCAGGCGAAAGAAAGCTGAAAGAGAAGTCATCGATATCATTCGCAGGGTAATGTTCTATACTGCTCTTTCCTTACATACTCTTCCGGGATGAATGTATCATGTTATTACAGCTGAAGGAAAGCGAAACTATCTGCGCCGAGGAGCTGAGGCGCAGAAGAGAAACCGAAGAAGCACTAGAAAGGACTAGGCAAGAAACTGCAGAGATCAAATGGCAACTCAACAAAGTACTCGACGACTTCAGCGCTGTCGAGGAACAAAGAACAATGCTGCAGCACAGACTCGCCGATGCTGACAGAATAGTCAACGAGTTAAAGCAGAAAACTTTTTCTTCTGTAGACTTGCTGCAAAAGTGCGAGGAGGAACGAAACGAGCTGGAGGTTGAGCGAGACGCTGCGCTCAGAGTAGCCGAGAAGCTGAGAGAAAAGCTCGGTGAAGAACTCTTCTTTTCAGAATTCTCTGTGATGGAAATTGAAGAGGCAACGAACAACTTCGATGAGTCCTACAAGATAGGTGAAGGAGGCTATGGAGGCATTTATATAGGACGGCTACGCCACACCCAAGTGGCGATAAAAGTTCTGCATCCCGATAGCTTACAAGGGCCGGTCGAATTTCAGCAAGAGGCGAGTACGACATGCACAAGTTATTACTAAATATGAGAATCGAATTCATAAACACTAATCTTGCAATGTTGCTTCAGGTGAACATCTTAAGTAGGTTGAGGCATCCAAACATTGTCAACCTTATCGGAGCATGTCCCGAAGCATGGGCTCTCGTCTACGAGTATCTACCCAACGGGAGCCTCGAAGACCACCTCATATGCAAGAACAACACGCCCCCGTTGCCATGGAAAACCCGGGTTCGTATAGCTGCAGAGCTCTGCTCTGCTTTAATCTTTCTGCATTCTTGCCGGCCGCAGGGAGTCATCCATGGTGACTTGAAGCCTTCCAACATTCTGCTCGACGCCAACTTTGTGTGCAAGCTCGGCGACTTTGGGATATGTCGCCAGCTCCCACGAAACGAATCTTGGGAAAACAACATCACATTGTTTTGGAAGACTGAACGGCCGAGGGGAACTATCGCGTACATTGATCCAGAGTTTCTTGCAACGGGAGAACTGACAGTGAAGTCGGACGTCTACTCATTCGGGATCATATTGTTGAGGCTGTTAACAGGGAGACCGGCGATGAGGATAGTTAAGGAAGTCCGGTCTGCATTGGAGAAAGGGAGTCTAAAAGAGGTGCTGGACCCGACGGCCGGGGCCTGGCCATTGGTGCAAGCACAGCAGTTGACACATTTAGGCCTCAGCTGTTCGGATCTGAACCGGAGAAATCGACCAGATCTTGGTTCCCAAGTATGGAGAGTGATTGAAGCTATGAATATGAATATTTCATGTAGATATGAAGAGCATGGAAGAATACCTCCCTACTTCACTTGTCCCATCTTCCAGGAAGTGATGCAAGATCCAGTGGTGGCAGCAGATGGATATACATATGAGTCGGAGGCTCTCAAGGGATGGCTGGAGAGCGGTCACGACACATCCCCTGTCACAAACCTAAAGCTTCTGCACTTTAATATGGTCCCCAATCACCATCTCCGATCCGCCATACAACAATGGCTCCAAACACCACAAAACTAGTAACTACTTACAACTTCTTCTACTCTTCTTATGGAAAAGTGCCCATGTCATGTGTGTATTGATATAAAACTTAACAACACTCCACAAGTGGAGTTAAAAGCTTTTGTATAGGAGATTGCTAATAATGTAAATCCCTCGAGAATTCCAGGGTACATCTTTATTTTAATTTTCATTATTTACTTCAAAATCTGACCAGAGTTAAGGGAGGGATTCATTATTCAAGAATCTAAAATCTTCATTTAACAGACCAAGGATGGGTAGATCTCATCTCACACAGACATATATCATTAAATAGGCTAACTAACTCCAGCATACGTAGAACAAACAGTCGACATGCAGAGTTTGGACAAAGTTATGCAAACCCTGGAAGTATGCAACTTTGGAAATAAGTAAAAATCCAATGTATAGAACTTAACCAATTCCTTATCTATATAGTTGCTCCAACATTTCATTATCATTCCTTATCAGCATTAAATTTGGGGTAGAATAAAAAATAAATGGCAGCAAGAACACAAATCCAATTACACAAATCCAATTACACAAACCCGGGGAAAGAATAAGTGAACTAAATCCTTTTCGGGGCATTGCTTAAATTTTAAAACAAAAATTTAAGCATTAAGGAACAAACGGCAGGGAAGTCTATCAGAGCAAGAACTAAATGACAACTTGATGTTGCCGTATAAGATTCGGGTTATCAATGTGTAAGCCAGAAACAGAACAAAGGGCAATAAGAGCTCCTCCTCAACACAAAAGGGCTATTTTTTTTTTTTTATTCTTTTCAGCGATATTACCAAACGAATAAAGCATAGGAATAAAATATACTCAAAAGGGTATAATTATCAGCTACTCACCATTTGAGGTTCACTTCCCATGCTGCGATACACCACAAAATTGTATGAAACCTCCGTGACAACCTATGCTAAGACTCCTAACCATTGTCCATCTGCAAGAATGATTTAGTGAGGTTTTGGCTTATATCCATCAACTGCAAAGTTTCGTGTAGCAGCCGGGAGTGCTAAACGAAGTCCATCAAGTTCAGGTTTGGCAATTATCTGACAACCCAGACGAGATCTGCAGCAAATTATTGCATTTTAAATTGTGAAAAAAGTACCAAATAAAAAATAGATAGAAACTGAGATAAAGAGGGCTACGTTTCGGTGAGTCCAAATGCAAGATCTAACATATCATTTTCCTCATCAGTTGGATCTGGTAAATTGTTATACTTGTCCACATCCTGCCCCATGTAAAGCATTAGCATAATAGATGCCAAAGAGTCAGAATACTCATATCCATTTGTCTGAGGTTACACATTATAGAACATAGGAATGATTGAACAATAAAGCTTAGTTGGAAGGTAATTGACCCGCAGAAGCTTACCATCACAATAACATGACAAGTGGAACAAGCCAGTGATCCCTCACATGCTCCTGCAACAAATAACAGAATTTAGCTAACTTGTGATCTTCTTTATCTCAAAAATTGTTTAAATTAAGATTGTTGCATAGGGTAGTGCATGAACTTGATTGATGTCTGATAACAATGGAACAAACAGCTACTTATAGATGATATTGTATGCTGTAAAATATAGATAAACTCAACCAGCATTGTCACCTTCAAGTTCTATGTCATTCTCATGTGCAGCTTCCAACATTGACATTCCAACTGGGACTTTAACATGAGTCTCTTCTCCATCTTTGTCAACAAATGTCACATTTATTCTGGAGAGAGCATAAGAGGAATATAGATATTGTAAGAACTCCACATAGTGTATACCCTTTAGAACCATCTGCTTGATGGTGTAACAAAATCATGAGGCATAAACTACTTAAGAACAAAACTAACTACTTAAAGACTTTGATGATATATTGATCGGGAGTTCAAATCAGAAAAAAAAAAAAAAAAAAAGAAAAAAAGGTAAAATGGTCAAGATACTTACTTTTCTGCATTGTTGTCCTCTGGATCAGGTTTATTAGAGGTGCTGCTAAACAATTCATGTCTCTGACAAATATAAAAAAATAAACAGGTCTCAACGTTTATTCTCCGGGATCAGATAGTGCAGGTATGTACTGAATATGTAAAATAAAAAGATGAGGAAACATGTTAAACACAAAGAGAAGGTGTGAGATTAAAATGACACTGATAGCTTAAATGCACGAGGAAGTGACTGCCAAAGCTAACCCCAATTAATTTTTATTCTCACAATAACACTTCAATGGATGAAAGTGTTGCTAGTTCTTGTTATTCTGTTCCAATTATATTTTTCTGTTTTGGATTTTATATCTAATTTTTCTAACATCTGGTTCCCACTTTTCTTAGTCCATCACAACATGATACTAATCCTAATAGTAATGCCTAATCTTCAAACTGCATGTCTTAAATAAAATTTAGTTAAACCAAATGTGCAGAGTTCATATTCATAATCCATCAAGAAACTATACTAAGGGTGAGGTAGATATGTTCCCTTCTCAATTAGGGAAACATATTATACAATTTACCCAGACAATAGGCATAAATCAGGTTTGTAATGCATCTAGGAACAAGTGACAGTAGCTTTTATAGGAATTACTTGACTACATCGAAATGCCTATCATATTCAAATGCAGAAGCTAAAATTATACAAAATCAGACTTATATCGGAGGTATGAGCAAACTAACCAGACCACGGAGGAATTTATTATGGGATACAGGAAAGTAAGGCGTTCTTTGAGTAAGAGTTGGAGCTGCAATTCAAATAAATGCAAAGTACTAGATAAGTGTATTAAAAAAAAAATGGAAAAAATAAAATAAAGGCACAAAAACAAGTAGAAGAACAAAATGATCATATCATAAAACTTGCAAAGGTGACACTTCCTTTCTATACACCCCTTCCCTTACCATTATTAGATCTTTCTCCTTCCTTATTTGTGGAAGGATGATCTTCAATTCAAACATAGTTTAAACAAGCATCTATCAAAGATGTACTAACTGCATTTTCGCAAGTATGCTGACTTACTACATAGGAGACAAAAATGAGAATCATAGTGAATTGACTAGTGCATTATATCAAATGGTTTCTACAGCAGGCAACAACAAATTTCAGTTTCAATAAGTGAATTGCTTTAACCAATTAGCTAAAAGAACAAACCTTTGACCCGACTCTTGATTATATGAGCTCCTAGCAAATAAAACCTAGAAAAGAACATAATCCTTCAACCTGTGAAACCTACATGAGTAAGCAAAAGAAATCAATGAACAAAGTGGAAACATGACATGGTGGTATCGAAGCTTGCAAATATATATATATATATATATATCCTCAATCTAGATGCAAAAATCATGTTAGGCATAAACTCCCCCCACAGCATAATATATACCCATAAATCTCGTTAAAAGTGAAGACAATAGATTTGATGCAAAATATATGCAACCTTCCACATACAGATTCCAATTCTAGAAAACCTAAATTCAATGGAATTATGTACGGATTTCTGAATATCCTAGAAATTGGGAGGCGATTGCGTTTTGCAATATAATCAACCCTTTGCTTAATGCTAAGCCATGGCAACGTCTTTCTAGCTCGAATTTACGTTAACTACTTCAGCAACTATCACTTCTCGAAATTGAAAGTCTCATTCCAAATTCACAGTATCAAATTTATTGAGCAGCCAATCATATATAAAACCAGAAGATGAAGAAAGTCAAAAAAAAAAAAAGGAAAAGTTGTCTGCTCATCATTGCGATCAATATCACTAATCATCCACGGTCATCAAGTTCCAGGATTTTTGCTTCTAGGAGCAATACTCTCAGCTCCTCCCCCAACCTCCGAACAGGAAACAAATCGAGAGCAGCACATAGAATCCGAAGAACATACCTCGGTTCACCAAAGTACGCGCGAATCGAATTGCGATAAAAACACAATGCGTAATTCCCACGCAGAATGGGAACCGAAGGAGACGACTGAGGCAAGCTCCACAAGAAAAGCAATCGAACGATGTCGTTCAGGCATTTGTGCGCAACCGACTTGCCCAATCGATTTCGAACCGCCGGTTCGCCGGTTTCTAACCGGCCCCGATCGAACCGCATCCAAAACCGTTTTTATCCGGTTCGGTTTGAGTTTCTTCGTTCTCACATCCAGCTTGCGGTTCGAACCAATCGTTTTTGTACTTTCTTAAAATAAAAAAAATATAGTACTACCTCCGCTACGGAAGAAGAGTGATTCATTGCACCTAGATTTTTGTGATATATTAAAGTAACGATATTTTGTAATATATTGAAAATTATAAAAATATTAATTATATTAAATAAGTAGCATAATTACTAAATAATAAAATGATATTTTTGTTTTGTTTTAACACAAACAAAAATAAAAAATAATATCCTTGTATACAGAATCTTCCGATCACCTCGGCAGGTTGGTCGAACAGCAGGATGAAGAAAGCAAGAGAAGATGAGGAAAAGAAGAAGGAACAAAGGAAAAAATAACAAGAAAAGAAACAAAAGAATGAGGAGAAGAAGAAAGAGCGACGTGACAACGGATGTGGATGTCAGCAGGGCAAAAAATTTTAATTATGGAGAATATTTTATAATTATAATATATTTATATAATTAAAATTATTATTTTTTCATGGGTGATACGAAGATTTTAAAAAGTAAAATATTAAAATTGATAAAGAAAAAAAAAATTAGTTGAAAATATTTTTAAAATTTGAATTATAAATTAAAAGTAAATAAAAAAATATAATAATATTTGTTTTAAATAAATATTAAATAAAAGATAATAATTAAATATTAATTTATTAATTTTATTAAAATTAGTAATTGAAAAAATTTAATAGAAGAATTAAAAAAATAAAAGTAAATTTGAATGAAAAAGTATATATTTCTGTAATATTTTATTGAAATTCTTTTGAAATGTTTATCTTTAAATATACAAACGAAAAATAAATATTTTTATAAAAATTACAGGTATTTTAATATATATATTATAACTGAAATTAAATATTTTTAAATAAAACAAACAAAAAAATGATAAAAAAAAATATATTAGATTGGAACGTAGAAATTATTATATTTTTATATAAATAAAAATAATGTTAATTTTAATAATGAAAAGATAAATATTAATGATAAAAACTAATATAATATATATTTTTATATTTTGTATATTTTATTTCATAAATTTTGTATTATATAAATATTTATACAATTATATTTAGTTTAAATTATTTATTATTCAACATATTAATATTTTTATAATTTATTTTTATTTATGTTAATTTATTTGTTTACTAAATCCATTATAAGTTTTGTTTTGTTTATAGACTTTAATTTTGATTTTATTATTTTTTTACAAAAACTATTCATGATAAAACATGGAAGGAGTACAATATTTATTAATGTTATAATATTATTTTTATTTATATCATATCAAATAATTATTTTAATTTAAAATTTTGTTATTCAAATTAAAACTCAAACCTAAAAACAAAACAAACACATTATATGTTAATTTTATTTTATATTATAAAAATTTTTACACGATTTTCAATCTATAAAATATATTATTACATTTGTTCCAAAAATAATACAATATTTAATTTTGGTACAAAATTTTAGATGGATAATATTAAATCACATCATTTGAAAATTATGTTATGTGATGGGAGATATAATTGTATATTTATTTATTTTTATTTGGATGACGTGAGAGATAAAGTATTGAGTGGAGACGAAATATAATTAATTATTTTATATTTTAAAAATATTATAAAATATTTGAGATATATAAAAAACAATATTGTAGGTGTCTGAGACATATCGAATATATTTTATTATCTCATAAAAACGTTAACATTCAGGTTTTGTTCACTCAAAAATTTTGGATGACACTTTCTCATAAATACTTTTAAAAATATAATATAGGCAAAATTGCATAAAATCTCCCTTTAATTTTTCGAAATTGTTGAAAACTTCTCTATTTCTAAAACTTCAAAAAACGTACTTGTGGTTTGTAAAATATTGCACAAAACCCCCCTACTCGTTAGGACTTAATGGAGAGTGTACGTCACGAGTCTGAAATGCGAATGTTGGTCTAGAAAATGATAAATCTGTCTATGAAGTTACTAAAATGACCCCCTAAACTATATTGTATGCTAACTTATTTCCTTCAATCTTCGTTAACTTCACAGCATATTCTCCTTGCCCAAAATCCAATACGGCTCAGTTCTTCGACAACATCTTCTTGTCACCTGATTTGAAGTTAGGATTCCGCAAATTTCGGGAACCTCTATTTCGAACGGTAGTTTATTTTATTTGCTTGGAGTTTCAGTAATTTCTTTTTTTTTTTTTCCAGAAATTTATGTTCTAAAATCGGGATTGATTTCATCGTTCGATTTTATCATCACTTGTAGATCGTTGTGAAGCAATGGGTTTCCTTTAGGGTCTAGGGTTACCAAATTTATCGTTTTAGGGTCAGTCGATTTAATCTCTGGATTGAATTTGTTTGGGTGGGTAATCAGTTTTAGTAATTCATTTGAAATATTGAAATCCCTATCACTGTAATTTTATGATTCTCGATCGTTGTTCTTGAACCTCATTTTTTGCATGGGTATTTGGTTTCAGTAATTTTATGATTTAAGATCCCTATCATTGAAATTTTTTATGTGGATATAAACAATTTTATGTTTTTTTTTTATCTTTTTGCAATCATTTTAATATTTACTATTAAATATAATCAGAGATGTCGTTTAGCGACTCAAAATCAAAGTCTAGGGGGCGGAGAAATCTTGAGCTAAGGTATCGATGTCCACGATGCAAGTGTGGGTCAATTGCAGCAACCTGTGTTGTTGGACTAACAAAGGAAACTCAAGGTAAATTATTTTGTAATTGTCGCGTTGGAACCTGTGATTTTTTCCGTTGGTTTAATCCGCTAAGCACCCGCTTTAGGGAGTGGAGCAACGATAGAGATGATGTGACTGAATCGGAGGTTCAATCCGTTGCGTTTGATGGGGAGCAAATAAAACAAGCAAAGGTGATCATGGATAAAGTATCTTAACTGAAGGTGGTTGTAGAAGGACTACACCGTGAAATAGAAGTCTTGCGCGCTACACTGAGGTACATCAAACTTATCGAAGTCTTGTTTTGAGTAGTTGGTTATATGTTTGATGGTTCGTCCCATCTCGTTTTGTGTTGTAATAGTAGTAATGAAGAACATGGATGTTTTGATGTTCTAATTTTAGCTTTGGTGTAGGTTTGAATAATGATGTTTTGATGTTCAAATTTTAGCTTTGGTGTAGGTATGAAGATGGATGTGAAATGTTGTTTGATTGTCACATTCCGTGGTATGAATATGGATGTTTTGATGTTTGGATGGTAAGTTTAGATTTGATATTGTGATGTTGTAAGATATTTATCTGGGACCAACATTATACAATTGGCACAATTAAATATTCCAATCACTACTATTATCCTTGAGTATTGAACAATAGGTATTCAAAAATATACCGTAGGCATTATAACATGGATTATAACATGCATTCAACATTTCAATCATTGTCATTAAACAATAGGTACTAAGAGATATGCAATTGGCAAAATTAAACAAAACATGTATTATAGCCACAACAACATTATAATATTAAGCAATCTAATAGGCATCAGATAAAATGTTCCAATCACAACCATTATCGATGACCGTTAGACATAGCAACAATATAACGAGCGGCCTACTAATATAGCTGCTACTTATACAAAATGTTCCAATCCTAACCATTAGCCGACGCAAAACAAACATGACAAATATAGAGCTTCAAGTGTCCACATTGTCAGGCAACATACGAACAAAGTATATAATATGAAAATACTCCAAATCAATTAGAGGTTCATCACAAACGGCTACTAGAAGATTCACCTGCTGATAGCGGTTGATGCCCTCTTAGTTTAAGTGAAAATCTAACGCTTCGGATGAGCGAGGATAAAGTTGGACGTCGAGAAGCTCCACTCCTAACCGTTGTCTCGGATGGACCCTATAAATGGGCATTTCGTCAAATATTCACACACGTTTGTATATTTTCCATAAATTAAAAAAATAGAGTGTTGTTGTCATACAAACTGGACCAGACTGTGTTGCTCGTGTCGATTTCGGAGCGGGATGAGCGTTGGAAGCCACCTAACAAATTGGTCGCAATGGTAAATAAGTTCATCACATTTATATTATCCAAAAAAAAATGCAAAACAGTCCCATTGCGTACCTGTTCTGCCTGCGGGCGGTTATCCGAAATCGGCTCGGATGGGTCCTCATTCGATATATTTTCCTAATTTAATGTACATTGCAACAACATAATAAACAACACATTTATGGTGCACCAAAAATAGAGATTTAGCATAATTCTATCTTGTACCTGTTCTGTTTGGTTGCGGCTGCCAAACATCTTTCCGGATAGGCCCTCTTTGTATCAATTTCCCTAATTTGATGGTGAAAAATGTCAGTGATTCATATGCTAACTCAACTGACATTACCAAAAAAAAAATAATGAATCAGGTACACCAGATGTCAACGATTCTAGCTTGTACCTGTTGATGATCATTTTTATAGCTTCGTTTATTGTGTCCTTGACAATGACACTTTGAACAAGTAGTCGCCAATCCCTTTCGAGAAACTTAACCGTCAACACGCTCATTGTTCCCATTACGGCGAAGGACTTTTTTTGGACGACCAATTCTAACTTTCACGACCAGCGGGGCAACCACTCCTAGTGTGGATTCCTCCAATTCATGCATGTCAGGGATAAGATGAATTGCATGATTGTAAACAGCTTTGTAGGTCTCCTTTTCGAAGCAGTTGTCAACAAATTTTTTGACGGGCAGTTATTGATACTCGATAGCAGCAACACCGTGGCAACATGGATAGCCGCTAATCTAGAACATACCACATGTGCATACACGCCGATTCAGCTTGACAATATGGTTCTAGTTGCAATGCAGCACTTCGTACATGTCATCC